TAAATTTAAATTTATTAGTTAACTCAATTTCAGGCTATTTGAAATTCTAATACGTAACATATGTTTTCAAAATCTTGCTGAAAAAAACAAAATTATCAATGTGTCAAGGAAACCTTCATAATCAAAATTAAACTGAATAAAAAGAGAAGTCATTTTAAAGGTATTTATGTCTAGATAGCCCACTTCTTGATTTATTTATATTTTACAACAAAGATAAACTCAATTACATCCACTTCACTCTTGGTAATCTTTTTATACAGGTTCTCATTTTAAACACGAATAACAACACCAAAAAAAAGCTTAAATGTTACACTTTGTTTCCTTTTTCTTTATAGATCTCAATAAACTTTCCTTTTACAAGTTGCTCATCTTCATGAGTCAAATAGCTTTGTTAATTGTCGGTCATTATGATTATTATTTTTACTTCTTCATAACACTTGAAGTCCACTGTTTCAAAGAATTTGTTAATATGTAGCTGAAGTTGTGGACAAATCTTATTACTTAAATTCTTAATGTAACTGGTAGCTACAACTGATACAAGTAATAATCTACATTTCTGAACATGTAGTTTATTAGTTAAACACAAGAGAATTAAATTCCTATTATAGAATGAAGGTTTCATTTAAGACTCTTTTGAGTTTCCATTTCAGCCCCTTTCTAAACATTAAAAACTCCCAAATGTTGGCATACTTAAGTAATTTTCAGTGCATAAAAAATAAACTAAAAAGTGAATGTAAAATAAATTAACTGTAGTGTTATAATTTATATCTGTCACTTGCTATTCTCACAAATTCATTCAGAGCTGTAGCGGTTCTTGTTGTATCTCAGACTTAACTTTCTAGCTGTGATTGAGAGGTTACCAACATCTCAAATTCTAGCTGCCCTGTCACATATTAACTGCAGCTTCTACTACGAACTCACCAACTGGTTAATATCATGCTAGTTCAATATAAGTGGTAAATCAATACTCTAGGAGAAATAATAATTATAGCTTACAAAAGTCACTTTTATGATATTAAGTTTGAAAAATACTGAACCCATTATGTTAGCCTACCATCATTTCATAATTCACATGATCATCATTTGAAATTAAGAACATTGTTAAAAGGTGTCAACTTGAATTAATTCAATACATTCTACACGTACATGTAAAATATTAATTGGTATTTTCTTAAGTACATGTCAGCAGTCAACACAGTAGTAATTTTTACAGCTTCTTTCAATTCTTTTTTTTAATACTTTTCCAAATGTACACATGTGGTTTTTTTGATATTTGTAAGTAAATTTACTTTTAAAAATTATATTTACAATATAAAATATATATATGTTTTCTTTCCAACTGTGTTTAATTTTCTCAATGGTTTTGGAAAAATAAATAAATCTCTTCCCAATATATTTAGAGGAAAACCCATGGATATAAACATTAAAATTAAACTTGCCTTCTGACTGAGTTATAGCCACAAAGAACAGCTGAGAACGATATATACTGATCAAGTAATGATGAGGTGTTGCTATAACAGGTGGAATGTCTTCTGGAGAAGATACTTTCCTCTGGGCATCAAAAAAATAATCACAAACAGACCTGTGGATGACACTTTTCCAATGTTTTTCCATAAAAACATCCCTGAAAAAAATTAGAAACTATGAAAAAAACTATAATCACATACGTTAACAATATTGATAATGAAATGTCAACAAACTGGTAAAGTTGGCTGATAAATTGAAAGTCTTGCATGTTGTTGGCTGTGAGAAGGATGCTACTGTTTTATAAAGGATTTGGATAATTTGACAGATTGGGCAAATAAATGGCAGATGGTATTCAAATATACTAAGTGCGAGATAATCATTAATTTACATTATAATTACCACCTTGATGAGAATCAACATAATAGTGCTATTGAAGAAATAAATCTTGGAGTTTTGGTTGATCAGTCTCTTAGGCCTCCCAGGCAGTGTGCAGTTGCCATTGGGAAAACAAAAAGTATTTGAGGTTGTATCTACAAAAATGCTAATTATAAGTCAAAGGAGATTGTTTCTTTGCAAGATTCCTGATTAGACTTCATTTGGAGTACTGTGTTCATTCTTGAACTTCTTACCTTATGGATGTTAAGTTGTTAGAAATAGTTTAAATGAGAGGACAGATTCAGGACCTAGAAATTATTTTCTCTTAAAAAAAAAGGGATTAGAAAACATCTGATTAAAATGGTCAAAATTATAAATAGAATAGATAAAATTAATGCATCATCTTTTTTTGTTTGTTTGTTTAATGGTGAAAATGGTATGACTAGGGATCACAGAATTAAGATTTGGCATGGTAAAAGTCATCTGTAAATTAGATGATTTTAGTAAAATGTCAGGGCTGGCTACAGGCAGGTGAATGTTTGATGTAATGAATGAGACAGTTACAATGGACCAAGGGGCCCCTTGTTGTCCCGTTAATGTTAATTATCATCAAGAGCAACAATAGCTAATTTACAGGTTTATAGGATCTGATTAGATATATCAGAAGTTTGAGTCAACCACAAAAACCTAATAAGATAAAGGTAGAGTGATCTTGAGACAAATCAGATTATACATCATTAACCAAATAGAGATGGGCAATTAGAGGAATTTGCTAACTGGTTAATCATCAGGCTAACGAATCAATTATATTCACCTAACTGGATATTCTTATATGTGATGGCTAAAAAAACTTATAATGCTAAAAACTGGGTTTCAATAACAGTGGTTGACAGAGCATAGTTAATAGTTAGCCCATTGTGTAGTTTTGGGCTTTACAACAAAGTATATACTTGGACAGTTAGAATAATCAAAAATAATAATAATAAAAAACCCTAATTTCGATTAGTTATTTATTCCTGAGTTGTGATACTAATCAAACACTATAATGAAAAATCATGATGCCAATATTTTGATTACTGGACAACTGGAATAATCAAAAACAGTAATAACCAGAAATAGTAAATGATTTTTTTGTGACATTAATTGATAATTATGCATATGAAGTTGGGAATTAATATTATTTACAGCCTTACTCTGTTAACCACAACTAAAAATGTTTAACAATTTCAATTTCTTAACAGCTAGTTAAATTGCTAAATATGAGCGAATTAAGTCACTTTTATATAATAGTTTCATTTAAAGCTTAGTTATGTTTGAATTTCAGTTCCATTCCAATGACAAAAAAACTCCTAAAATTTTAGCACACTACATAAACAATTTTGAGTGCATAAAAGTAGACTGAAAAGTAAACACAAAATTTGTTATTGGTAATGGTAGGATGTTTATGTCACTTTCTGCTCTGCTAATATTTCCACTGTCTTTGCAATAATAGTTAATCATACCTTAGGCAGAGTTATAAGGTTGCTACTACAGCGGGTGGTCTACAAAAATATTTACACTATAGCGTGCGGTCTACAGAGGTACCAGCATCATCACCATTTTAACTTTTGTTTATTTGCAATTGGCCCCATTTATTATAAATAACGCTTTTAAACTAACAAAGTACAAAATACCATTACATAACATTTTGGGGGCAAATATAATCAAAATGAAATAAGTTCCAACAATCAAAACAAGTGCAATTATAACCTAAGTTTAAGGTACTCTTTTGGAACACACAACTTATTAAGTTATTATTATTTGCTGAACAGAAACGTAGATGGATATAAATCATTTAGCAAGAAATTATGTTTCAGTGAATCATTAAAACAATAATGATGATAGTATCTGTGAAGACTGCATGCTATAGTAGCACCGTTATAAGAATCTGTTGCTTCTAATATCTGTAATAAATGCTAGAGTAGGTATCACATGTACAAAATAATAGCATCTCTACACGAAATAACTTGATTATTTTTACATGTGAGAAATGGAATATAATGTGAAATTAGATAACTGTAACAACAAAAAGCAATAAATAAAATATAATAACCATGAATGATATATAGTACTTTAAGAAATTGGGAAATTAACATTCTCTATTTTAGGGTGTAATAAATATATTGTACACACAAGATACAGACTTTGTGACACTGATAGCTAGGGTATGCCATACATGTGCATTATTGCATAGAATCAGCAGAACAATCAAACTAAATTTTTAAAAGATTTAATATTTGAATGTGAATACCATAAAATTGTTACATTACAAAACACAATTTGTCAATTAGATTTACATTTCAGCAGATCAACACACAGTAACAATACATTTCCTATTAAAAGACCAAAACTGAAGGCTATACTACAACAGATTTCTGTTAAATCTCTTAATAAAACTTCATACAGGAAGAACCTGCCTGGTTTTACACTAGTCTTCAAGCTTAGATAATTCTTTAATTTTTGTTTCATAAATCACAGTTGACAGTCAGCCATACCCATTAACTTGATTAAATGATTAACTTATGTACAGTCGCTATAAACATTAAGCTAATGTTTTTGCACACGTTTACTAATATTAGTCTATACTGTAGTACTACTGATAATGGTAGCCCAAATTATGTATTAATTATTAAAAATTAAATATACAATTATAAACGTGCTTACCCAGAGGAGTTTATTACAAATAGGCTGTGAATCATTTTCTTATAAAAATTGTCTTCTCTTCCCACTCTTGCGCTACCTTTTTTGAATAACACCAAAAGTACTAAATAACTACAGTTCTAAATAAAATTAGAGTTATTCTATCAAGCTAAACTAAAAAAAAAAAAAACACTGCAAAAATACATATACACAATCAACGTCATACCATTACAGACCGTCACCTATCATGTGCCCACATAATCATATTATTTTCGCCCTCTTTTGGTGGAGAGAATTACTTCATTTTTATATTATTTTATTGTTGTATTTAAAATTGAAATTACAACAACATTTTAATGTTCTAGAAATAAGAAAATTTAGTTTGGAAACTAATAAACAAAATAATTATACAAACAACACAGGCTAGACTACAGTAACGATATTGTGTTTATATATATATTTAGCAGTCTATAAATCTGCAAAGACGTCAAAACTCAAAATAATTAACTTTCAATATCATCACATTCTCCGATGGGACAGCGGTAAATCTAAAGTCTTACAACGCAAAAATTCGGAGTTCGATTCACCGCGATGAACACATTCTATTACCTAAATGTGGATTTGTTCTAGAATAAACAACCATGTCATCACATGAGCTTATGTATAATTATATTTTCCTAAAGACAAAATAATACATTACGTCAGATTTGGTACAGATTGTCCTTTAGTTAATCTCCAAAATCAGTGATACTTTCTATCATTATTAGATATTTAGATGACATTAATTCTATTTATACTTGAATAAGTTAAATCTTTGTCAATTTGTTATATTCATTTCATTTCTCATTTAGTCAACCTTGTTAAGCTGATTGCTAAATAATTTACTGATCCTTTCGATTCTTGAAAGCAGTCAAAAATAATAAGCTTTTTAATACTACAGACACATCTAAATGCAGCGTAATATACTTGAATAAACGACCATTAACCCTGCGTTAGTCTTCCGGGTTCTTCTCGGACTCCAAATATTTTGTAAACATTGGCGCCGACAGATGGGAGCACATACATGTTTGGTGTTCTTAGTAGCTTCAAATTCCGGCTAGTTAGTGTTAAATTGTTACACTTAGTTTAGGTGGTAAAAAAGAAACAAGTTGTAATATTCAATGTTCATTTATTGATAAATTAAGGAAAGTATTTTGAGTGTTAGTGTCTTTTGTTTCCAAAATAATAGTTTATTATTACTTAAATATTTTTTTAATTAATTTTTTATGATGAGGTCCTCTCGGACCCTGGAAGAGTGACTATGGATTTTTTTTTTTTTACGGAAGACAAACGCAAGATTTTTGACTAAGTTGAGGAAAGAGAGTGAACAAGTGAAAAGCACCCTCTATTTAAAATCAACACAAATAAAATGGACGAGTGAGTACAAAAGATACAAAACACTACTCTCTTACCATTGAGAGCTCTATAGGTTGAACGAGAAGTCGAAAGAAACTTGATGAAAATTTCAATGAGACTGAGAGAGTTAATAACTTTATAAAAAGACAACAGTGTTATGTTTTCCAGAGCACATATGCTACTTACTTCACTTCTGGTCATTTCGTAAGTGTAAACAGGGAGAAGCACAGCTTCTAGGTAATCTTAAATTGAGTCTACACATTTCTCCAATGACATCTTCCATGGGAAAGATCAGCAACACCAGAGAAGATCTATGACAAAAAGTAACTACGACACTAGCAAGTTAGCCATGTGGTGAGAATTGATGTCACTACATGCTAAAGGTACATGTTCACCTGAAGTCGTATATATATGTGTGTGTGTGTGTGAGGAAAAAAAAACTTTCATGAGTAAAAAGTTTCATCTGTAGAAAGGAAAATAAACCCGTGGTATGTTTCCCATCAATAGACAAAAATAATACACTGTATAGCTCAAAAATATAGTTGAAGATGAAAGTTATTAGATCAGGTGTAACTCAGCACTTAACACAGAGAAAATATATTAACCCCCCTACCCTAACTAAGAAACAAAAACTAAGTAAAATAAACACAACGTAGTACTCGACACACCCAACCCACCCAACACACA